GTGCTTTTGTTCAGAGACAACTTTGTTCGACTGCAAGTTAAAAGAGAGGAGAGTATATACAATTTCAAATTTCCTACCTTCCGCAGATGAAGTGACAATACGAATGCTTAATTCGAATGATGATTTTTTGAAACTCCTTTTAATATTCGATTTCGACGGACAGTGACGATGTGAACGATTTGAATTTTGGATGAAGATTCTTGAAACTATTTAACTTTTCTAATATTAGATTTCGACGGACAGAGTGACGATTTGAATTTTGAATAAGGACTCTGCTATTCTATGTTATTCCCGCTTATTTATAATTTTCCTAATTGTCACGTGATGGATCATCTCTATGGGAATCACAGCATTGCTACGTGACAAATTAGGAATTTTGTAACTGTCTACTTTCGAGGATTGTGCTTAAGTTTCGTCTTCTTGATTATCTTATTTACGCTATTCCTAATTTCTCATATTCTTGAGACACGTAGATGCTGCCGAAGTTTCGTCTTCTTAATTTCTCGTATTTCGTTGGGTATTAGGGACATGCAAGGTGCGTGATAAAATGTAGGTATCGTAGTAGCTCGTATTTTGCTAATGTTGCATCTGCGATGTTTCCCAAAACTTCCTTACTGATGTCAGTGGAACGTGGCAGGCGCGTGCCAACTTGTCCTTGCTGAAGTTGCATCTGCGATGTATCTGGTAACTTCCTTGCTGATGCCAGTGAATCGTATAAGGCGCGTGGCAACTTAGTATTTGCCGAGTCTTCTTATGCGTTATTTCCTGTTTCTTTCAATAAAATATCATTTTTTTTTATAATAGTAACTTTAATATATTATTTCATGGTTTGTTTCTCACGGCTAGTTTCTATTAATTTCTAATATTCTTGCGTTACGTTGTATTGATCATTATTTATTCTTTCTTTGTTACGATCTTCCATTTTTATTATCATTTATTAAATATTTATTCCTTCGCTGAAAATATGATTTATTTTGTAACGCATAAAGGTTGCTATATGCACGTGTTGATTATACAAAATGGCCGCCTGTGAATGTTCGTAGTATATAGTGACATTTTATTAATGTGAAATCTATTATTTATCCGTTAATTATTTGTGACTCTATTTTAATAGTTGATGTATAATTGCAGTGGGAATAATATTATTTGCATTTATTTAAAGTGCGTAATTATTGTATGTATTCCGATACGCGCGTGTAAGAGCTATCATAACAGTCCAAGATGGCCGCTCGTGAGTGTCTCTAGTAAAAGTGACGCGTCCTTAATTTGTTTAATACTGAAATAATTATTCGTCCGTCGCTTATTTTCCTCTATTTTAGTGTAGCTGGAATTTGTAAATGACAATAGTATTGTTTGTGTAATCATTATAATACTAATATGTGCATAGTGTGTTATTTTAATATAATAGCATGTGGCATGTGTTGTTAAATTTTATAATTTATCAATAGCACTGTTTTATTGGCGTGTTTTGAGTAATTTATTTTTATAGAGTGTTCGCTTAATTAATTTAATACTAATATGCGCATAGTGTGTTATTTTAATATAATCGCATGTGAATTGTGTTATTGTTAAATTTTATAATTTATCAATAGCACTGTTTTATTGTTGTGTTTCGAGTGGTTTATTTTTATAGAGTGTTCGCTTAATTAATTTGATAGTAATATGTGCTTAGTTTGTTATTACCAGTTCTACTGCGTAACATAACCTTATTTCTCTACGCCAAACTTAATACAATTATGCTATATTAACTTAGTACAATATAATAATTTTTTATTTTAACCGCGTTTGTCGTTGATACTCAGTTAATCAGTTTTGATTAATTCATAACCTATTCCTATATTATTGGCTATTTTCTGTTTCTTTGCTATGAAGTTGTCGTTACCTTGTGCGTGTAATTTGCCGCCTTTACATAGAATTTAAGAGCTAATCTTACACATTGCTAGTTAAAATCTTCATTGTTTATAGGTTCTACAATTCCAATCCTTCAACGCTGAGTCTTTTACTTGGAACAGCTACATGGTGCGCGTTTGGTATCTTCTGCTTCTTCGTTACATGTCTAACACTTATCAAGACTACTTTTACTTATCCTAGAATTGTAAGTATATATATAGATTATATATAAAACACTATATTTTGTAAATATCTGTGTAGTAAAATAGTCCGCCCACTATCTTTTTTGCTAAGACCGCTTCGCTAACGTCGAATTGTTTTGTTATAATGTCAGAATATTTCCTTGGTTTTCCAGTTTCTTGTTGCTGCCTTGACTGTTTCGGTAGTATCTGGTTCAGTATTCCGTAAGTATTCACTTAAGTTTGGTAGTAGGCTTCTTGTAACTGCGTCGGCTTTAATGTATATCTGCCGATGTGAGTAACGAGCTTCTTATTATTATCAATTTCTATTCCAAG